TCCACTGGTGATGGCCTTGTAAACCCATGGTGGTACTGTGTCCTGTGATTTCACCAAGAGTCCAAGCTGAACACTGATCTATACTGTCCAGATTTGTTACATACACTCCATAATGCTCCCACTACAAAACGTCCTGAGGATGCACTGACAGAATGCTTCCCTGCTGTCAAGTGACACATGATTGTGTACATGTGGTAGAGATTTAGCATGAACAGTAAGTGCATGTTCACAGTAGAGTTTCCATGGGAGCCTCTCCATGGGAGGTGAATACATGAATGTCCACCCTCACATCTTGCTGCACATCTGAGACGTTTCAGAATCTAATACAGATAATGCTCCACTGTGAGGCAGAATCTTGACTCTCCTCAACACCCAGAGGCCTCTGTAGAGCTTTCTAGACTGATATGAGCAGTGAGGTAACAGTGGCAGGCTCACCTGCAGGAGGGCAAGAGGCAGGACTTCCTGGAACAACCCAGGTACAATCCCTCCCAGAGCAACCTCTTTCCAGAGCTTTCCTCCCCGCCAAGCCATATTTGTCTTTCCCACCCCAGTTTCAGGAAGCCTTTCTGAGTCATGCCTGGTACCTCTACAGTCCAAATGAAGGAGAGTGTTGGGTGACCCCACAATGGCTGCCTGCTTGGAGAAACTTCATAGAATCAGGGAGTTCTCGGCCCTTCTTTCTGCATGTCCCCACCTGCTCCTGGGTACTTCCCCTGGACATTGCCATTAAGAGTAGATTCACTCTGCCACATTGGAGTGTGAGTTCCACAGGAGCAGAGTCTAGCTATGGCTGTGTCACACCAATATGAAGAGCCATGTCCGGCACACAGGGAGTCCTGGAAATGTGTTGGTGGCAATAGCTCTCCTTACCAGAAAAACCAAAGTTCGGGATTTGAGTGAATATGCACCAACGTATGGAATGAGCAAATCCTGGCTGTGTGGGAGAGAGAGCTGTTCTAGAACTTGTTTAGTTCATTCCTAATTCAATAGAGTTTATTTGGGGCTTATAGTTTCAGGAGTTTAGAATCCAGGACCATCATGGTAGGAAGCATGGCAGCAGGCAAGCAGGCATGGTGCTGGAGTAGTAGCTGAGAGCTTACATCTTGAGACACACCTACTAGGCAGAAAAAGCTAAGAATGGCCTGGGCTTTTGAAGCCTCAAAGCCCACCCCCAAGTGACACTTCCTCCAGCAAGGCCACATCTCCTAATCCTTCCCAAACAGTTCCACCAAGTATTCAAACATGTGAGCCTATGGGGGCCATTCTCATTCAAACCACCGGAGATTAATAACTAGACAAAAAGTAAATGGGCTAGCACTTTCCAAATATTTACAATTGGAACACTGCCTTGGCACATCTCAAGTCTATGCTGGAAAATTTGTAGAGGGGTATCGATTTGCATATGCTGAGAGCATGCCATGCTCTAAGGATGGAAACGAGTCCTGCTCTGCTGTCAAGAACAGAAACAAAAGTGTGAATGGTTTGCAGCAAGCTGAGAACAAGGTTCCAGAAAAGACCCAACTGATGCTACCAGGGAACTGCACTCTCCTTTCAGCTCTTCCTTGGAAAACAGTCAAACCAGTAAGTGGGGGGCACTGTAAAGTCCTCAGTGGGGCTCAAAAAGCTAAAACAGAGTCACTGGTTCCCTAAAGAAGCGTGTGAGGACAAACAGAGACATAAAAGTAAGAGAGACGTCATTAAAGCAGTTCAAGTTCTAAAATAAACTACAGTTTGATCAACAAAAAGTTAAGGGGCAAGGCTGAAAGGAGACAGGCTACAGCTCTCTACATTTTGCTTCATCCCAATGATTATGAGACTGCAATACATCATTTATTGTATAGTCTGTGTTTTTTTTTTAAACTGGATTTATTTATTTTATTTGCATGATGTTCTGCCTACAGGTATGCATGTGCACCATGAGTGTTACTGGGACCCTCAGGGGCCAGAAGAGGACTGGATCCCCTGTAACTGCAGTTACACAGGGTTATGGTACACCATATGGGTGCTGGGAATCGAACCCAGGTCCTCTGCAAGAGAAACAAAGTGCTCTTAACCACTGAGCCATCTCTCCAGCCCCCTCTTCCAGGTTTTCAGTCAAGATCATAAGACTGCATTTTCTAATCATTTTTAAATTAGTTCAATATATTTGGGTTATAGGGAGTAATACTCAGTTTCTAAATAAAAGTGATCATTTAAAAAATACTGTGATCTCTCCCAAAGTAGAATAAAAGAAAAAAATGTATGGGCATGAAACAATAAAACAGAAAAGAGATGTCTTAATTTCATTTACTTTGCTGCGATAAGACACCGTGACAACGCAACTTAATAGAGAAAAGGTTGATCTGGTTCACAGTCCTGGGTTACAGTCCATCACTTCTGGAAAGCCAAAGCATCAGGAGCCAACGTCAGGCAGCCAATCACACCACATGCACAGTTAAAAGCAGAGCAACAACCTGATGCGTGCTCACCGGTACTCAGCCTACCCTCCTCCCAGTCCAGGGCCAGCACGTGACATGGTGCTGCCCTTCCCACTCCAGTTAACCCAACAGGACAATCTCTCACAGGCTGCCCACGGGTGAACCTGACCTGGACATTCCTGGATGAGATTCCTTCTCAGGTGATCCTACATTGTGTCAAGGTGAGGGAGAGAACGAACACCAGCTGGGTACATCTGAGGAGCAACTCAGGGAGCAGGGGTCATCTGAGAAATGCTGCTAAGCTGAATTAAGTTCTGGAAAGACTGAGCCACAGCAATAAAGCAGAGAGACACCACAATAGACAGGCACAGAAGGACAAAGAGGACACAGGCGAAGGTGGGACTTACCCAAAGTGACCATGAAGACAAAGTTTTAACAGTCCTAAAGCATTGGGTTGACTCAAGGGTTAAATCTTGTCCCAAGCTCGGGTCATTTTAAAATCACTTATTGATTTCTTCCAACCAAATAAGAAGTTCTGTCCAAACATGTCAACAATAACACCCTAAAGCTGAGAAGCATAAAACGGGAAGCAGCTGACGGGTCAGTGGGTAAAAGCAGCTGCTGCCAAGACCTACTGTCGAGGTTCGATCCCCAGAAGTCATATAGTAGAAGCCCAGAACTGACTCCTGCAAGTTGTCCTCTGACCTCTGCACACGTGCTGGGTGTGTGTGCTCTTGCACACGGGTGCGCGCGTGCGCGCGCACACACCCCCCAAATGTAAGACATTTTACAAAGGCATATCAAATTAAGAGAATAAAGGATTGTCATAATCACATACTTTCCATAGATGCAAAAAATTCATTTGATAAAATTTATAATGTAGTAATAACAAATGTGCACTAAAATAATAAAGAGAGATTTTTAAGGAAATCGTATCTCTCAGAAAACATTCTTTTCTTAAATTTTATTATACTTACTATTTGTGTGTTTGTATGTATGTGTGTATTTGTGTGTGCATGTGATGTGTGTGCATGCATATGTATGTGTGCCTGTGTGTGTCTTTGCACATGTGTGCCTATGTGTACCTGTGTGTACATATGTGTGTATGCATGTGTCTGCATACTGGAGGTGAGAAGGCAGCCTGTGCTCTAAACAACATTTGCTGTTGTTACTTTACACGTAGAGTTTAGTGGCCTTCAGCTCACTCACATTATTATTATTTAAAGATTTAATCTTATTTTTAGTTATGTGTATATGTGTGTGTCTATGTGTGGGTATACATACATGAGTGCAGTGCCCAGCGAGGCCAGAAGAGGGCGTCAGATTCTCTGGAGCTGGAGTTAAGATGTTTGTGAGCCTGACATAAAATCACAAACTTACTTAAAACATGATGAGGTTTTTGCTCTTACTGTTTTGAGAATGAAATTTTCACTTGACCACCTGGTTCACAAGCATGAACGTTGCAGATGACAATGTGGTCCAGAGAAGTTCAAATCTGGACACTCCTGCATGCTGCTGGTAGCAACTGTAGCATGAAAAATATTTGGAGCTGTCTAATAAAGTCAAAATGGGCGTACACCACAATAGAGCAATTCCATTCCAGGGTAACAGACCATAGAGGAGTGTTTTTCAAACAATAGGTTACAAGTCAGTAATGAGTCATGAAATCAGTTTAAAGGATTGAGATCAATATCCCTAAAAAAAAAAAAAAAAACCACCAGAGAACTTCTTGAGTACTGGAAAAGTCAGGTTATCTCATGGAATTGGCTTCAGTTGTATCTGAGGTGGTGGGCTCACTCTACAGATGTCTGTGGTTTTGTAGGATGTACATTTTGCTCCAATCTGAAAAGTCCTACAAAGACTCTCCCCTTGTTTCCCAGAAGAAAAAAAAATTCCCCGTGTTCACCAGAAAACATGAGCAATGCGTTTTACCAATTTGTAAAAAATATCAAAATATTGAACACAACTCAAATACTGATCAAAGGTGGAGACTTGAACAAGACAGTCAAATTGTGGCATTTACACATGCAGAACTATTATGACAAGTTGCAATGAAACTTCCTGTAACTTAGATAAACCATAGAAGCAAAATCTCAGGTGAAAACAGAAAGTTATAGAGTACATCGGATACTATGCCTTTTCAATTGAGGTTAGAGGCAATATACTAAAAATAAATAAAAACAACCCAGACATAGATTCCCCAAACTGGACTGGCTGGGGTCAGACCTGAGCCCTGCCACCCATAGGCCATGAAACTTGAGAAAAACACTAAACTTCCACGCCTCAGTTTCTCCTTCCACCTGTAAAATGTAAATAAGGACCTGCCTCATGAAGTTTTAAGATTTAAACTCACACAATAAATAACGAAAAAGGAACCTGAGAGAAAGGGCAGAGCCTGAAATATTTTAGGTCGTAAGCTGGGTGGTAGGCACATAAGAATTTTACATCATCGCTACTGCATTTGCCTACATCAGATACTAGATTTGTCAAACAAAGGCAAGATGGCTCAATGCCAAGGCTCTGTAAACAGGCTCAGAGTAAAACCCTTAAGGAGGTAAGGATGCTGTCTTGGGTGATGTGTACCTGGTTCTCAGCTTGTCACCAGCAGTTGCAGTCCAGTTCTGGATCAGCCCCAAGACTGGGTTCTTCTTATGCTGCTTGGTGTTCTGGGCCAGCAGTTCCCGGGCCACAACCTGCACAGAGAGTTAATTTATCCTCCATCAGCCATGTCTCACAAGTGTGGAATCTATCAGTGTCCTCAAAAGCTGCAGCCAGATGAAGTCCACTTGCCACTAGCAAACTCCTTAGAGAGAAAGAAATCTAAGACCCCATCCTTCCGGGGGCCTCCATATCCCACGGTAGATATGTGGCATTTTCCAGACCATTCCAATCCCTCCCCATGGCTGAGTCCTAACTCTGGAGAACAGCTCTCTCTCCCCTGGCTTCTGCCAGCCTCTCACACTAGCCTTGGCACCAACCATCTTACTCAATGCATCATGTGAAAGCTGCTTGCTTCCAATAGCCCAGATGTCTCCGTTCCCTTTTCTGTCTTTGACATTCTCAGGTTGATTCAGTCTTTGGAGAATACTACTAAAATATGCTAGGCGGTGGTGGTGCACGCCTTTAATCCCAGTATTCAGGAGGGAGAGGCAGGCAGATCTCCATGAGTTCGAGGTCAGCCTGATCTACAGAGTGAGTTCCAGGACACACAAAACTACAGAGAAACCCTGTCTTGACGCCCTCCCCCCCAAAAAAACCCACAAACAAAGCAATCTGTCAATATCCATTAATTTATCAATATTCACTCTCCAGTAACTTTAAAGTTACCATTTTGTTTCAAAATACTGAATACTGTTGCAGATCTGTTCAAAGATCTCTCTGAATCAACCACAGAAGGGGCTCAGTGGACAGTGCACAGCTGGTATTAGACGTGTGAGTGATGTAACTTGGCGCCACCTGCCACTGACTAAGCCCCTATAGGAAGAAAGAACCGAGGCAGAACCAGCTGAGCCTTGAACCACATTGCTGAAGCTCAGGCCACATGACGACTGCAGTCACACTAAGAAACAGCTGTCAGGGCACCAAGCCTGTGCCGACTCATCTCCTCAGCTCTCGATTTTAGGACATTTTCTTCATTACTTCACAATAGCATACATCATCATCATCATCATCATCATCTCTCTCTCTCTCTCTCTCTCTCTCTCTCTCTCTCTCTCTCTCTCTCTTGTGTGTGTGTGTGTGTGTGTGTGTGTGTGTGTGTGTCCGTCCGTGTCCAGTTTTGCCTTTTTCCATGGGTTCCAGGTATCAGATTTCAGGTCCTCCTGCTTTCATGACAAGCCCTTTCCCACTGGGCCACCTTGGCTGCCCCAAACCCTGTGTATGATTTTTGTTTTGTTTTTAACTTTATTTAAGGGAGAATCTTAGTAAGTTTCTCCAGCTGGTCTCAGACCCACAATCCTCTGGCCTCAGCCTTCTGAGTACCTTGATTACAGGACTGCACCCCAGGCCCTGCATTTCTGAAATGCTTTTACATGGATTATATATGTATATGATATGTGATTTCATTCACAACAGCATCCTAAGAGATCCTTTGATTTTCATTGTGACATAGGAATCTACTTATCTGCTGAATGTCTGTATAATATTCTGTTTGGACAAATCATAACTCATTAAACATTTCCACTCAGTAGGATATTTAGGTCACTTCTAGTTGCATGGTATCATATGTGTGTACGTGTGTGCAGTGTGTGTAGTACACTCATGTGAGTAGATACACTCACCCATGTATGGGAGTGTGAGGGCAGAAGTAAATGTCAGGCTTCTTATCCCCACCCCACCCCCACCCCCAGGGTTTTTTTTTCTTTTTCTGCAACAGGTTTCCTGGATGAACTTGGAGCTTGCCATTTGGCTAGGCTGGTTGGCAGGGAGCCCCTGGGGTCTGCCTGTCTCAGCTCCCTGACTGCTAGGGTTAAAGATGCACACAGCCACACCCAACTTTTACATGGGTGCTGAGGATCTGAACCCAGGTCCTTCATGCCTACCCAGCAGGTTTCGCCCACTGAAGTGTCTCCCTAGCCCTTAATCTTTATAGCCACATATTCTGACAGGTAGTACTTTCCTCTTTAGATCCTGCAGACCAAATCCTCACACAAATGAACACAGGGTTCTCAGGGAAAGCCATGCTGTTCATGGGAGAGATGCTGAAAGGTCTCAGAGCCTTTATCTTTTTTTGGGGGGGGGTGTCTGGGGGGACTTTGTTTATCTGATAAACAGAGTCCTTGTTTATCTGCATGCAATAACCCTGCCTCCCTGTTCAATGCTATACAATGAACACACTGGGTTTCCAGGGTGCAGTTTTTCCAGCAGGGAGCCCAGTCCACCCAAAACCAGGATTTATGTCTGTATAATCTGTTATTTCTTTATTCACTCACACCTCCTCATGGGGTTGAGTCCCTGGGCTATACAAGGAACAGAGCATATAACATTTTTGTTTGGTTCCTTGAAGTATTGTCTTGAAACTTCAAATTTCTATCTTTAGGGGCCTGAGAGATGGGTCAGAGGTTACATGCACTGGCTTCCAGAGGACACAGGACTGATTCCCAGTGCCCATACAGCAGGTCACAACCTTCTGTAACTCTAGTTCTAGGGGTCTGACATCCTCTTTTGGCCTCCATGGGTGCACAGACATGCATGCAGGCAAAACACTCATACACATAAAATAAAAATAAATAAATATTTTCAAAAATAAGTTATACCTTTAGACAGACTGCATGGCCAAAGATTTTTATCTTAGGATATAGGGGGTGTAATGGAATATAGAGCATAATGCATTAAGTCCAGTGGGTGTGGGAGTCACTGTATTATGGGGTCCAGTAACATGAACAATTTCATGATAGCTACAGCTATATAAAACAAGCATAAAAATCAAACATTGCCAACAGTGAGAGTGTGGTGATAGATTGTGTACCCTAATAAAATTTGCCTGAAGATCAGAGGACAGAACAAGCTACTAGATTAAACATAGAGGTCAGGCCATGGTGGCACACACCTTTAATCCTAGCACCCGGGAGGCTGAGATCCATCTGGATCTCTGTGAGTTCAAAGTCACCACGGACTACATAAGATTGACTCAGTCAAGGATAGAAACAGAGCTAGGCAGTGGTGGCACACACCTTTAATTCCAATACTTGAGATTTTATGCCTTTGCTCCCGGTACTTGGGAATCACACGCCTTTAATCCTAGCACTAAGAAGGAAGTAATATGGCTGGGTGGAGAAAGGTGTATAAGGCGTGAGCAAACAGAAACTAGAGCTTTTTCAGCTGAAGCCCCTGTTCGGCTGGAGCCTTTTCAGGCTGAGGAGTCCTAGAGGTAAGATGTGGCAGTGGCTTGTCCTTCGTCTCTCTGATCTTTCAGCATTTACCCCAACATCTGGCTCCAGGTTTTTGTTTTTTTTTTTTTATTAAAAGACTATTTAGCAATTCAAGTTACGTGAGAGAAACAGCTAAGAATAAGTGGAAATAAGAGTTAAAACGATCCAGCATTCAAGCTCAAGTTTCACCAACTGTATCATCAAGACTAACATTTACAGGTTTTGTTCTGGTGAACATTTACAGTTTTTGTTCTGTTTAATGTAGGATTGTTCCGACTTGCTCTCCCTCTAGTGCCAAAAGCAACATCATTCCAACTGTTAAACAATGGCTGCCTCTGATTCCTGCCCACTGCAGTCTTCCCTGGATTTACGGCCGCCCCAGGACAGAGCACACATTGGCTGCTGTGGTCTCTCTGTTCCCTGGAATACAGGTACCAGGAGGGCAGATGTGTTTGTCCTTCACCAGCGGACAAGGAACAACAGTCTGGGGAGTGGGAAGGTCACTGGATTCCAGTTCGCTCTTCAGTGAGCTAACGGCATGTTCTCTTCCTGCCTTCCTTCATCCCCGCCCCCTCCAGTCCCTCAGCAACACTCTCTGTCACTGCGGCAATCTCTCTGATTTAAGCAACTTAAATTGAGAATATTAAGTCACTCTAATTAGAATAAAAATAGAATGATATAATAATCAACTTCTTCCTGCTAAATTTAAGAGAGCCAAGAAAAGCTGCCCCTTGGCTAGCACCACAAAAGCAGGTAACCCCCTTGGGGGGGTCTTTGCTCCTTTTCTAGGTCATGAGACAAATCAATACGCTTTTCAAATGGGTTATTTCGCACTGCCGGTGGCTCCCTGGTGTTAGTAGACCTTCTGGTCACTGTGGCAAATATCCAGCAAAGTAGTGGGAGGGTCTGCTTGGGCTCCCAGCTTCATGGCACCGAGGACATAGTAGGGCAGCAGGGCCACGGGCATCATTGTGGCCAGAAAGCAGAGACAGAGAGTATCTCACTAACCGACTTTCTCATCTCCCCTGGTCATTCCATCCGGGTGCCCGGCCCCTGGGATGGTACAGTCAAGGGTGTTCTCTCTTGGTTAACCCTCATAGGTATACCCAGGTGTGTTTTGATAATCTTCCAGGTGCTTCCTAAATCCAAGTTAGTAGAAAGTCAAGATTGATACCCAGATCAGCGATAGAAGCTCTCAGCTAGAGATCCGGTGGCTACAGCCTCTAGATTGAACACTTTATCAGACAGAATAGCAGACAAGGCCAAGACAGGTCAGATGCCTGAACTGAGCCTGCAGCTAAAATGAGCGTTCCTACCCGTGAGGTACATTTCTGAATAGACTAGAATAGAATATGTTTTATATTTTATCGTATTTACACTATTTTTATACCTTCCCATTTTAAAACCATCACAGAGTCACAAAAAGTTACAAAAGTAAAGTAGTGTGGAGAGATACATACGAGGAAAGAGACCTCAGATGTGACAATAGTGCTTCTCAAAACCAGGAAATTCTGCAACAAATTTATTCATCACAATAAAAATTTCATTATTTAAAAAATATATCCTTTCCTTTCTCCCCTTTTTGTTTTCTGTTTGTTTATTGAGACAGGTTCTCTCTGTGTAGCCCTGGCTGTCCTGGAACTCATTCTGTAGACCAGGTTGTGCTGGAACTCACAGAGATCCGCCTGCCCCTGTCCCTGTCCTGCCTCTGCCCTTGGCCCTGGCCCCCGCCCCTGGTCCCACCCCAGCCCCTGTCTTTGCCTCCCAAGTGCTGAAATTAAAGGCATGTACCACCACCACCTGGCTTAAAATATATCCTTTTA